CTCGCAGTCTCTAGGCTCTGCTCCACTAACAAGTGTGTTTTCCCACTCCGCTAATTTCAGTTTCCCTAATATCCGTGACCTTTCCTAAAAATTGTTCCTACAGGCAGTAATTAGGCATCAAAAAGAAAAATACATTTGTTGTACCTTCAGAAAAAATTTTTTTAGCAAAATGAATAAGTGAAACTTTAAATCAACTTCTCACCCATACACGTCACACCAGTTTTTTAACAGGGGGGGGGGGGGGGGGGGGGGGGGGGACGGGGGATTTTGACGTAAATAAATTTAAAAAAATAGTTACAGTGGAAACCATTTCGGCCAGTCCCTGACTCTAGTTACCTCCTCCGGCCGCTGTCGTTAAGCTAAATTGCGGACTTTGTAACAAAATGACGATTCTCGTCTCTACAACCTCTAGTAACCGTAATAATGTAACTAAAAAGTAAATGAAAGGTAAAAAATAACTAAAAGTAAATAACTAATAATTTTCAAGAATATTTATACAAGTAACCGTAATTTACCGAACAATTGGTTTAAATAATTCATATAATAAATTGTTAGTTGTCCGATAACAACTTAAAAGAATTCTATATTTCGTTCAATATAGTTTTCTTAGTACGACCAGCTGGAATTTCGTTTTCAATGTATTATCGATCTTGACAATGTCAACCAATACTGGTTCGAAGCATATCGACTCGAATCGCAATTTCAAAATACTGACAGCACATCGTGCAGTGGCAATAACCTAAATATCCCGGTTACATGATTTTTCCTCGCTGCATGTTATTGGCTTACGTTTCTCACCTGCCCCACCGATTCGATCTCTTTCAGGAACCTATCTCTCCTTGCGTCTCTCCGCATAGCTGCACTTCCTTGGGGACTTTTTCCTTCTAGCGGCGTTCGTCTCGCCTCTTCCGTCTCGAGATTACGGTCGCGATCTCTGGTCGGCGAAGGAAGTGGTGGCCTTGATGGATCCGGCACCCCCTCCCCCACTGGCCACCCCTTACTACCCCTCTCCTTCTCTTGCACGTCTGCATTCCCCTTCTCCCCTCAATTCCACTCTCTTGGGTGCGCGTCGCTTGCAGCCGTCGCTCTGGTTTTCGCTCCCAGGCTTTCGTTATGCTCCGCTATCTACTAGGCACCATTTTTTTGCGTTTTCCTTCTTTGCATTATCGAAATCGTCTGGCGTTAGTAATTTCAGTTTGGAGCGGCGACCCAAACCAACCTACATCTGGAGTAGAATGTATTTTTCATCGATTTCGTTTGTTCTGCTTAATGTGAAAAAGTTTTACGACGACTACTGGTCGTATATCAATCAATCATTCAAACATTGACTTTATTTGACGAACTTCGCTCTAGATGAGGAACCGGCATTGCGTGCGAATTGCCTTCGGGTGAGCCAACTCACTACTTCGTTCTAGATGAGGAACCGGCATTGCGTGGGAATTCCTTCGGGTGAGCCAACTCACTACTTTGTTCTAGATGAGGAACCGGCATTGCGTGCGAATTGCCTTAGCACTAATCATCTAAGCAGTCTCGCTAGCCCAGCCGCTCCGCCATCCATATGCACTGATATCTGACAAAATGTTAATAAACCACCATTTATGTATAACTTTTTGAATCTCTCCCAGAGCATGACATAAAAACGCCATCTACGATTGTTCTCAGTGACCCCTCGGTCAAAGAACTCGTACCAGAATACTAGTTCCGAGACGGCCATTATTCCGAGATACGGATTTTATTACTACGCAAGTTATCAGGGTGTTCCCTCGGAGTAGGAGGGTAAATTGGCAACGATGTATGGGGAATGTGGGAGGTGTTACCTGACCTCACGACAGAGTTTACTGCACATAATTGTATTAAAGTTTTAAAATTTTGCCACTTTCAATGCAAAGGACTACAAAACTATATATACAGAACAGTATAGAATACTCCCTTTACGAGGAAAATTCAATTCGATCGCAAGATAAGTTGCAATTCTATTTTAGAATATTTACAACAGTTTATAGAAAAAGCAATCCTATCTATCAGATATCCCGTCTATCAGTTAGACTTACAACATTTACAAACAATTATTCAAAAATAATTCATGTATTTCCATAGTCAACGAAAAATTAAACACAATTATATCGTATTTAAAATTTTACTTTTTACCTACTTACTACTTACATAGTAAAGAGAAAGAGTTGCAAAATGAAGTCAAAAAGGCACTATTTTTGTCATTAAATCAAATTACGATTTCCTGCAACTGAAGAAGTGGGCACGTTTTGCAGCTTTTCTCCATTATTGCACTTCCCTTAAATGTTGAGTAGTCAGAATTCATATTTCGTTCATCGTTGATACCTAAAGATTGAGATACAGCAAAACGTCTGTCTCGGTTAGCCTGTCTCTCGGTCCGCGTCGGTCCGTCTGTTAGACCACATCACCACCGTCTAATCTGTTCAGAATATTAACTTCCAAACTGATATTCCAAGATTTATCTGTCCGAAATTGAGGCATTTACTAACTCGAAAACGATAGTTTAATTTTTCTTTATATTTCCTGACAAAAAGTGCAAAGTACGCTTATGAAAACAACGCAGGTCTCATTTTCGTTGATTTCACTACAGCGCCTCTGGTTAAGAAAGACTAAGATTCGAGTCCCTAAGGAATTTGGACACTGGCTTAATAGCTCAGTCCAACTCACCCGCTGCCTGGGGGGGAGGGGAGGGGGGATTCCAGCGAACAAAAGCACCTACCCTTCGAGACACAACGAAAAAAGCAAGCCAGTGAGGACGATAATAAAATGTATTTTTTTGCTGAAATCGTTACTATTCTTTAATTGATACTTGGTTGGTGAAATGATTTGGTGTCATCACTGAGAACAATAAATCCAGTGGTTCTACTCCTATTGAGGAGTACACAAACAAAGAAATTCTCACTTCCATATGACGCGTAACCATAAAAAGTTTCTCAAGGGCGTCAGAAAATAAGAAAATACAATTTCATGGAAACACTTTATTGTAGTAGTTAAAGCACATCTAACATTTCCCCCCATAAAAGAATACAGGCATTTCTCTTAACCTGAGATGCAAATTGTGATAGATACCATTGTTTTCCAAGAATACGAGACTCTGGGATGCTATGAGGTGCTTAATGCTGGCTTAGAAGCAATATTTCATGTGTGAGAACAGATAGGAATCGCTAGAGACGGGATACGCACCACCGGGTGGATAGTCAAGAACTGTTGTGAGCAAACAAATGTTTATCCCACGGTATTACACATGTTTCAATTCTGATGATCATTACGTAGAAATCTCGTGTAAAAAGTTCCATAACTTATACAATAAAGTTGTAATAGTAAATTGTTTTTACTTTGTTAACGTTACAAGGAAAATCAGTTAATTATCTCGTTAAATGTTAACAAATACCCATCATTGATCATGTCATCTAAACGACTTCCGTTTTGCAGGGTTTTCCTGCTTTTAACCTTTTCCTGCTTATTCGTTTTAACAGAATTCAAGAATGTGCACAACTAGGTGTAACGGCAAGCGATTAACGCTCTCACGCAAATGCGGACATGTAATTGAAAAGCCCAATGCAGTAATATGTATGCTTCACTTTGTAGTTCACGATACAAACACTTTTTCAGTAATATTATACAGTTTGATACTGCAAAAGTATCTGCAGAAGACTGTACAAAATAAAATTATAATAATAAAAATATTAATAATAATAAAAATAAGAAGAAGTTAGTTTCAAATGGATTTTTCTATCATCTGTAAAGTGTTCTTTGTATTAAATGTAGCGTCAACTTATATGTCATTAACGCCCACTATTGCTTGTAACGTTATTATAACTGTGAGGATAACACAATATAATGATTATATGGGTCAAAGGACGAACACAATACAACCTTGCCCGATACGGAACTCGAATTCTGGATCCTTTGGTATGAGATCGCTAGGCACAATTTCCTTATTGATCGCGGCCGTCGGCTCCTGTAGACTCGTGAAATGTCAGAAGTACCGTATCTGCATTAAACGGTATAATTTTAACACGCATGACAGTTTTGACATAACTAAATATAAATACAAGTTCCAAGAATTTTTGGTACTTAATTCTTTTCTTCGATAATACAGGGAATTTCGTAAAAAATGCTTTTCGCTCATGCAACTTTAAATACATTCTTAATTTGAATTTTGATTTCTATGAGTTCATAATATTAAGCAATTTTAGACACAGGATGATATTGACGTTAAAAGTTGTTCAGTGGCTTTGCAATCACTTAGTTGCGTAGTGTGATTAATTCGAAATGAGGTGTGCTGCTGTTTAGGGAGTTGCTGCTGCACGTCGAATGGCAGAATGTTAGGCAGAAGCGTTAACTTATTTCAGTGGCTGTTGCATAGTGTGCTTGAGTGGAAGGGGGCGTGTGCCTGTACAGGGTGGTGGTGCTGCTGGCCGTGCTGAACGCCCTGGGCTGGTTCCTGCTCCGGTACAATATTAAACATAAACGTTA